ACACTGAACATGTGCACCATAAACACCACTAAATACAGCTACATTATGCTAATTGTATTGYTTTCTACTGTTCAGTTAGCACTATTTAACAGCAAATAGTGCAATTATGTGTTTAACACATTTTTAAATGTTGTACTCTAAGAATAACTAAGGATGAATTATGAAATGCCTCTATATTGCATGCATTTTGATTAGATGACAAAAGTGCTCAATTACTAAATACAGCACACTGTTGCCAGGTTACACAACACAAAAATAATCCCAAACTCCTACTACTAGTAGGTAATAAAAAGCATATAATACTTAAACAAATAGAAGAGGCTTTGCAGTACTCGGTTCAGTAATTGATCAAGAATACTGGAAATCAAAGCAGCTTTTCATTCTCTTGTTCCGTTTTGTATTTTGTATTATTATACTACTATTAAGCGGTATACGGCAAAGCCTCTTACATCGAAATTCTATTGATTTGATGTCTCACCTTTCTTTGATACTCAGTAACATTACTGCTTTCAATTTCATTTAAAATTGATTCAAATTCATCAGTGCTGTCTTTCACACCAACTGTTCCTCCCCATCTCTTCCTGCCACTGTTGTAACTTTGCAAYGGTACCTTWGCAACAGGCTGGCTTTTGCCACTTGTAGAAAATTCATCTTCAAAAACTCTTTTTCCTGATGCTTTCTCAGTTGGTTGTTGTTGGGTAATAGCTTGTTTTGGAGGCTTATTTTCCGTCATTACTGGTTTGGTTTGTTTGACAAGATTTTGACCTACTTGAAAGTAGGGATATTTGAGAGCTTGGGCTGCTGTAGGTCTTTTCTTTGGGTCCCACATCATAAGGTCACGCATTAACTGCACAGCTTCAGGACTTGCATTAGGTATAAGTTGTTTGAGGGGAGTTGGGACCTTAAAAATGAAAMGTGCTTCACTTGGTAACAATTCATGTCAAATGCAACATTGAAACAGTGCATTACACATTTTTGAAGCAACAACTTTATAAATCCTTTTTTTCACTTTTCACTCAAAAAAGGGTGATCACTGGCACCAATCATTATTGCCTTAGGAAAGGTATTTCTCACTGCATGCTCAACTGCCATCTTGTRCCCAGTGGTATAACCACTTTCAGTAAAGGTAAAGAAGTTATTAATGTTCAGACGTAATAGTATTTTACCATTTGTGGGAACTTGAAATTCATAGCACTTGCTAACTTGTGTCCTTCTGACCATTCCTCCTGAAATTTTGATTAATGTTATCTAACAAGATATTTTGAAGTTTATATTGATTCACTATATTTTTGTGCTGAAAAATTATATAATGATAAATAATTAATCATAAATGATTAATTAATGATTATTTTATAATTAGAATAATGATTGAAAAACAATGATAATAATTTTTGTCAGAATAAATCAAAAGACAAATAGATGAGAAATTAAAGGAAGGTGAATAAATACTTCAAAACATTCAAAATCATGAATGTTAATTCCTATTTTTTACCCTAGGGGGGGAGGGAGGGGGCGGGGATAAAAATTCGGTCTACACGTAGGCTAGTGCTGGATTTTCTCTGGAACAGGATATCGTTTTCAGTGATTTTACTCTGGAACAGGATATCGTAACTTTCAGCGATTTCACTCTGGAACAAGATCAGGGTTTTGATGTCCCAGCGGCACACCTCCACCCAATTTTGGGGGGAGTTTTTTACATATTTTAGTTTCTTTAAAATCTTTATTTGGTTGAATTAATACAAAATTTTTCCTGAAAAAGTATTAGGAATGTAGGTACGTTACTTGTTTTACCTTAGATGGAGTGCCCAGTACAGAAGTGACTTTAAATATTTCATCAACCTCACTACTACCYGGGAATAAAGGTCTAAGTGTATATAATTCAGCCATGATACAACCTACAGCCCACATATCTATTGGTGAACTATATCCTGTGGATCTCAAGAGAACTTCAGGAGCTCTGTACCTGTTTAAAAAAATACATAAAAACTTACTTCTATTGTTATTGCATGCAAGGTTGGATACAGGGGGTGGATTGCCTACCCCATTTTAAAAATTTGAAAAGAAACCTAATTATAAAGAAAATGATGAATACAGGGCTCGAAATAACGGCCGGTCAAAGGACAATGTGCTTCCAAATTCGCTAGATGACCGACCAAATCGGGTTTTGGAAGGATTTTCCATTCTTACTATGGAAATTCTTAAGAGCTATGCCAGTCTTTTGAATTTCGTAATTTATGTTTGACCTTGGTGTTGTCAGTGACTTTTTTTATTTTTTTTTTTTGTGTGTGTCAAGTACCAGCTCTCAAACAATGGACAAATACATGTAGATGGTATTCAAAGCAAGAAAACAAAATAGAAAACAATAGAAGTGCAGTACTAAGGGAGCAATTTTTTCCAACCCCTTAGAAATATCCTGTGTCCTGACCCCTGGCATGCTGCAATTTTGTTAATCACAATTCACCTTTTATCAAGATCTTTCTATAATGCTATGCTATAGTTTTATTTGAGTTCAGATTTACAGTAAAATTTCACAATTAAAGACAATATTAGTAATATAGAATTACCAATAACAAATAACAATTATCAGGGCTCGAAATAACGGCCAGAGATATGCAGGTCAAGATGTCATTCCAAATTCATTTTTGGAAGGTCATATCAAGTTTTGAAAGGACAAAAAATTTTATAATTATACTATTATTTTATTTTAATTCATAGGTTTTTGTATTCAGAAAGATTGGCAAGCATTTTAATGGCTTGTAAAAGRTTTATTAGYGAATTGAKAATARTCTTCTTCAMGGTTACCTGCGCCATCTTGAAAGGTAGCCGTGCCTTTRCATCGAAGCRAGACGACCGTTGAGCGTGCAATGATAGAAACTTTCTTTCACACCTACAGACAATTWTTCACAGGTATCTATCATTGCATGCTCAACGGCTTGTCTCRCTTCAATATAAAGGCACGGTTACCTTTCAAGATGGCGCTGGGAACTGTGAAGGAGACWATTGATGTTTTTTATATGTCTAAAAATGTGGAAGGTCAATTTGTCCTTTCAAAACCTGATTTGGCTGGTCATCTAGTGAATTTGGAAGGACATTGTCCTTTGASCGGCAGTTATTTCAAGGCCTGAATTATTTATCAATAATAATTATCAAGTAATCCTTTAGCTATTGAACAATCTACAAAAATATAGATGCTCACCATCTTGTAGATACATAATCTGTATAGGGAGGTCTTGATCGAATTTCTCTTGCCAAACCAAAGTCGGCAATTTTCACAAGTCGATTTCCCTGATCTCTGTCTTGTCCAGAGCACAGTAAATTCTCAGGTTTCATATCACGATGGAAAAATCCTGAAAATAAGTAGAATCATGTAT